CCGGCGGTGATGTACCAAAAGCCCCATCCATGTACAATCGTTCACTACAGAATAATAATTTTAATTGAACATCAGATGCCCAAACTAAAACTCTTCCTGCTGGTCGTGCATTTTCTAACTCATTGATCTCCAGTGTCGAATCATGAATGTCATGCAGCAAAAGTCGTTCCTTATTGTTATAATATCGTTTGTATAAATCCGGAATAAAAAATGAAGATGAGTTTGGAAGAGCAGGAGTCAGTTTGCCTCGATGATGTTTTAATGTATGACCTATAGTAAACATAAAATAATAAGGATCGAGATATTAAAGGAACATCAAAACATTATTATCATACCAATATCACTAGCACTGGGCAAAACAGCAAGAGCTTCACCTGTTAACAGAGCTTTGCGCATTTCTTGTTCGACAATTTCTTTTAATGGTGCTAATTCAGTTGCAGCTCTTGTTTTCATTGATCTTTTCAAGTCTCGCAGTTCCAAATCAGCAGGGTTTGGTAAGTGATTATGATCAGTAACTGTTCCAGAAAATCTTATAAATGTATCATCGAAATTTGTATGCAAAATTACATTACAACTTCGGTTTGTACATGACCAAAATTTAATAGTTTTCTTTCGATTAAAATTTTTAAATTGGAAATTATAACCATTAACAATTAACATAAATTTTCCTTTATTCAAGTATGTTTTGGTAATTGTTGGTTTAGTTGGACTTGGTTGTAAAAATGAATTTTCAGGCGATTCAGATGACGATGAACATTCAGTTTCATCAATAGCTGTCAACTTGTTAGATCCCATTAAAAATGTCTTTTTACGATTACGGAAAAATATTACACAAAACAACGAATGATATTTAAACGATATACTCTCCCTTCTTTATTGAACTATTTATACGGCAATCGTATCCTCTACAGTATTCAATTAAAATAAGCGCCGATATATTTCTTTATTTAAGGCGTCATCTATATTTCACTAGCACATAGTTCATCAACTAAAATTAAAGAATAAG